ACATTTTTATAGTGGAAATATACTTTTTTACCAACACAAACATTTTTTACATTGTATTTTTTAAATGTCATGACATTTTCTTTAAACAACGTGAGAATGTTTCCATAAAATGTCACGTACATTTTTTTAACGGTACGAAACAGTTTTTTTACATTGTATACACGCAACCTCCCATTATCCAACCATATGCCCATTTGTTCATATAATGGTTTTCTCTTTAAGATACTTGATACTCAAGTGGTGGGTATTTGCTGCTTTCATTTACTTGTGTAAAACATGCAACAATCACAATTACTTCAGGGATTGTATACTAATAAATTCATGATCAGATATTGTTTCCGAATGATTGTTGAATTGACAACTCAACCGCTAATACCTGTAAGTGTTCTCTCGCTCCCACCATGTCGAATATAATTTAGGGTTGTAATGCTTCTTAATGAAGAATAATGTTATCCTTTGCACTTGGGGGATATCAAGCACTTCTCTGGCATTGTTGTCAGGGAGCATAGATCTATGTATAAGCCAACCTGGGAATTACTTGTTTACTGAATTTATTTTCCATCATGGGAACAACTCATTACTTGAAGGTAAAAATTGTGCCTCCGGAAACCAGAACATGTTCTTGATTCTTCATCAGTTTTAAATCAACTAGTCGCACCACCCGCACATCTACGTGCACCTGATACGCAGTCCAACATGTCACATGTTACCGATGATCTTATACTTGATATTGCTTATATGCCTTCTTTGGATAATATCTTGATAGACAAATTTATAGAGCAAATGAACTTGATGCTGCTGCTAATGCATCGATTTCACAACTTAGGGAATCAAACACTCCACGTACACCCATTGTGTAGGATTAAACTTCGTTATAGCTTCTGTAAATTGTGAAATTAATAGTGATCTTGATGCTAGAATTGGCCTATTTAGAAGGAGAGCTTTATGGGAAACTTTTGTCCCTGATAATAAATTGTGCGCTTCTACCATATATTTTTAAAGATAATGCTTACAAATTCTCTGTTGAAACTGATATTATTGATATTGTTGAATCAAATTTGTTATTACTGATATTATTGAACTTGATATTATTTTAAAGATAATGTTTTTTTTCTGTACTTGGCTAACTTGGTGTACGGACATGGTTGGTCACTACTAGGGAAAAGCCTACTAGTAGCGCGGGTTAGGTGCCCGTGCTACTACTAGCTCGCTACAACTAACTGGTAGTAGTAGCGCGGGTGCCACCCGCGCTACTACTCATTATCTGTAGCGCGTGGCTGTGACCCACGCTACTACTATTAATTTCAAAAACAAAAGAATTCTCGATCCCATGCGTGCTGTCAATGGCGGCAATGGTTCGATCCAGCGATGACAGAGGTCGCCGAAGGCACGGATAGGCAGTGGCAGGCCAGATCTGGCAACGTCGATGGAGAGGACCGGATCAAGGGCAGAGTAAGGTGGCAGTGTGGGACTCCTCTTCACGGCCAAGGCAAAGAGCTCCTGGTCGTCTATGGTGAAGACCTACACGGGGATGGAGATGGGAGGGTGAGTCAAACCAGAGGGGAGAGGGAAAAAGGAGAAATGAGGGAGAGGAAGGAGATGGATGGGGCACCGGGGCTAGTTGTCGGTGGTGAGGTGCTCCGGTATGGTGGAATGGAGGCATGGGGGAGGACCGGCGAGCTCCTGGAGGCCAGCAGTGCGAGGCGGCAGCCTCGTTGGGCGCCATGGAGGAGGAGGCGCGCATGGGCAGGAGCGGCATGGGAGAGCATATGGAGAGAGGGGAGAGAGGGGCAGGAGAGAGAAGGGACTCGTGGGAGGAGATGGGGATTTTAGGGCTGTTAAAAAAAACCTATACTTAGTAGCAGCGCGGGGTTTATACCCCTCGCT